ATAGTTTTGTATGACTTTATAATAAGATCGTCACATTTTGATTCGGCCCAAGAATGTTACAATTCCCCTCAAGTATATTTGGATTAAAAGTAGTTAATTTTGAAATATTTACATGCACTTTTTTGTCAAGGATATTTACAAAAGTATTTCTCCAATGATATGATAAAAATAATTTTAATGTATATATAAAATGCTTTATCTAATATCAATTTTTTAAAAGCCCTACAATTTAAGTTAACAGTCACACACAAATTTAAATATGTAAAAATAGTCTTTTAAGAAACAAAAATTTCTATCAAATTTAATAAAAATAAGAATTCAATTTACTTTCACCAAAATCAATAAGAATAGTGGTTTTTTCCAAAATCATTAAGTTACATTATTTTTTCCGGTGTGGGCCTACATAAGGATACGCCCTTAAGATTCTTCTCCACTTGGTAATTGTAAATTTCATATATATACACCTCATTCCTCTAATTCTCTGTTGAATTTCGGCATGTTAACACTATAAAATAAAATTATAGTGAAAATATGTAATGTTGATATAAATACTAAAGATTATTTATTGGGTATAGTTTAATTTTATGTGGACTCTAAGAAGAGTTGTTACCTTGAAGTGTGGATTTTGGAGTATATATAATTCAGTCACTCTCATTTTTAACCAAATCCACTCCAATATTTTGAACATTTTTGTTTTTTGTTATGTTTTAACAAATATTTGAAATGTTGATGGTATGTTTTGTAAAATAATATTTTTAAAAATAATTAAGTTAGAAAGAAAAAACAACGATATTTTATCATTTGTATGTCAAAACCAACTAAATGAATCAGAAGACATGTAAATCAACTTTTTTAAGGACAAAAATGTTTCATAAATAAATTGATCAACAACCGAGAGGAAGGCTGATTACTCGACCATGTCTTGTGTATATCTCTTTTGAATAAGTCAATCATTTTTTTCTTGTATTCATTATGCTTAACTTTTCACGTGATAATTAAGGATATTAAAATATTATTTTTTGTATATGTAAAGGATAAGTTAGAATGCTAATATTGTATCCTGAAAATATGAATGATATTTATTCAAAAGAAGGTTGTTATGTTTTGCATGGAAAGGATCGAACTGTTGTAGTTATTTATATCACACTTTTATAGCTTCTTTTTATAAATAAAAAAATTATAAAATAATATTGAGAATATGACATGTCTAATTCCAATGCAGTTTTAAATTTTGTTTTAAAAAAATTAAAAATATATGTATTGTCCATAATTAGAATGAAATTTCATCGGTGATTTTGAAAAATCTACAAAAAAGAAAAAAATAGACTCAACAAAATCGTTACCGTAAAATAATAGATTAAGATATCATGAAAATGGTTTGATTTAAAATAAATACTAAGTGTACACAACACAAAATTCGATAATATTTTTTTCACAACAAAAATCAAGAATATGACATGACAAACAACAACCGAAATTATGGCAATTCATATAATGCTTCTTATTATTTTTACTAGTATGTACCTCGTGCGATGCACGGGCTATATTTATTTTGGTAAAATTTATAAAAGAAGGCTATTAATATAAGTTATGATACATAGAGGATTTGTCAACTAATCATAAATGTTCGTCAAGAAAAATGTAATACATTATTGAAAGTCTCATCGTTTTTCCATGCAAAATCATTTGACACTTGGCAACTGTAGACCGATATTCTCTCCACTTGGTAATTGATAAACACCTCATTTATCTAATTCTGTGTTGATTTTTGGAATGCCAACACCACGAAATAAAATTATAGTGAAAATATGTAATAATGTGACAAAGAACAATCGAGATTATGGCAGTGCATTTAATGTTTTTTTATTTGAAAAAAAAAACTAATATATATATATATATATAACTTACCCTTTTTAGTATCTAATTAATGATTTTGGCGGGAAATTCTTTCAAAAAATGATTTAACCTTGTTCTTATTTTATATAGATATATTTGACTTCATTCTTTGAATAACTTTGAATGCAATCGGATACATGATTAGTGAAATAGTGAACAGAATATTGTGGTACTTATAAAAACTTGTTACCATGATTAGTGAATTTTTTTATTTATATATTTTGTTATTTTAATTTTGTTTTATGAACAATTTGATTCCTTTCTTTGTTTAACTTTGAAATAAAATCTTTACAATATATTGTTACTTTTAAATGATATTTAAGTTGTATACATTACATAAATATATGTGAAAAAAAGAAAATTTTAAAGTTCAAATATGATATTTATTTATATGTATATAGAAACATGCAAATCAGATTTCCCTTAAAGATTGTATTATTAATTTTATAATAGCACTTTTTTTTATATACCATGATTAGTGCATTTTTGTATTTATTTTGTTGATTCTTACTCTCAATTTACGTTAGATTTGTTTTCATTCAAAACGTGTTTAATTTAATTTTTCGATATCCTGAGAATTTGTTTATCTTGATTGTTTTGGTATTTTAATATTTTACAATATTAAACAAAACAAAATATTGGCACGTAGTAGAATAAATGATCTTTTGTTCTTTAAATAATAATTATTAATAGAAAATGGCGATATGAGTATAATATAATATTATATATATTTATAAACAAATAGATTTAAACTAAAAGAATAAAAATAATCAAATAGATATAAATTATGAAGCCTGTTACTTTTATGAAAAAGTATTTTTTACATCGTAAAGGAAAAAAAAATAAAATCATATATGTTATCTATAAAAATTTTATTCTTTATTGTTCTAATAATTTATATATTAAAGTGAACTTAGGTACTGTATGATTTGATTCAAGGTTGTATATACGTAGGTAATAATATGTGGCCAATTATTATTTTATTGGTTAATGTTTATGTTGATGGAGTATTATTGGATAAAAAAGATCATTCATTTAAATCATTTGAGATTGTATCTATGCATTCCGTCCGTATAAACGTGTTATAGAAGGATTAACTATAAATCTTAATTTGACAAAGTAAATTACAAATTCATTTCCTATTTTAACTAATAAATTATCTCTAGCAAATAGAATTTCCTTTTTTAACTGATATATTATCTCCAGCAATTAATGATCCACTTGTGTGCTATTTCTCTATATAGAAGGTAATTAATGAAATTGGTGAGAAAGTGTTTTTAAAAGTGAATTATGTTAATCCTTATTATATATTAATAGATTTGAAAATAACACTTCAAAAGAATATAAAACTTACCTTTTTAATATATAATTAATGATTTTGGCGAGAAAATTTTTCTAAAAATAATTTAACCTTCTTTTTATAAATAGATGGATGTCATTTTAAACCGTTTGGTAAGTAAGTTTTAGATTAACTTTTTGTTCAAACCATTTGAACACGTTGGCAAATTGGAGCTTGTCCAATTAGCTTTATTGACAAAAAATTGATTAAATTACATGTTTGCCCATCCTGCGCTCCCCACCTTTAAACCTCATCCTTAATTGTTGCAATTAGTCTGAGTCTCTGAGAACAAAACTAGTTGATGATTTGTTTGAAGGGGAAAAAAGAGAGAGAGAAAATAAATTTATTTAAAAAAGATAAGTTTATTAAAACGTGGATGATTTCATTATTCTTCAATTTATAAGAAAATTGCAAGATTAACAAAAAAATTAGTTATTATTTATGACATTATAGTATTTGAATTACTTTACATAATATTAAAAATAGAATTACTATGCATATTTTAAGTAATTTTAACTTAAAGTAAGATGATAAAACGTATGAATATATATATAAATAATTTTACAAATTAACAGTTAATTACAAACCACTAATTTTACCAAACACTATTTTACAAACTGTTAATAGAGGTGAACAACGGTGCGGTTCAATGAAAAACCGCACTGAACGGCAAAAAATAAAAAATCGAACATAGCTAAAAAATAACTGCACCGCACCAGAACTTAAAAATACCGAACCGAAACAGAACCAAAATTTTTTCGCACTAAAATACCCAAATCGAACTGCACCAAAATGTGTGTTTCAATTTTTCGATACATTTTATTTAATTTGGTACGGTTCAGTGCAATACTGCGTCGAACCGAACAAAACCGAAAATCGAATTTATGAAAAACAATAACAGCACTGCACTGCAATATAAAAAGAAACCGAACCGAAACCGAACAGAAGTTTTGAAAACCGAACAGAACCGCACTGAAATGCTCGGTTTCGGTTCGATTTTTGGTTTCGGTTTTGGCTCACTGTTAACTGTTAATCTAAGTGGCTAAGCAAAAGACACAATCGACTGCAAACATAATTCACTAGTTGATGATTGCCAAACAAGACCCTTATTTTTAGCTCTTAGTTTAGACAACCTTTTGTTTCAATCATTATTTTTTATATAAATATATAGATTTTAATTTATTTTCAAAAACTATATTATGGCAAATCTCAATTCGTAACTTTGGTTATATTTTTTTTGTATGGTTTGTTGAGCAATGAAATAAAATGTTCTTTTCACAAAATTACAATTTATTTCATCACTTATTCCTCCACAATCCAATAGCAATTAGCTAATTTTTTTTAAAAAAAAAAATAGTAGTTTTTTTTTTTTTTTTTGTGTGGAAAAAGGATTTGAAGACAGGTCAAAAATTAAAAAGTGAGAGAGATTAAATTAAAGGCTGGTTTGAATTTAATGATTCGACCCATAAAATGTCATAAAAGTCGATATTTGCCAGCCAAACACCCTCTCACTCTCTCTCTCTCTCTCTCTCTCTCTCTCTCTCTCTCTCTCACACACACACACACACACTCACTCTGCTTTTAATTATTAATACACTGACACACACTTCTGCTTCACTTTACTATACACACACACACACACACACACAAAACCCACGCCCATGGCGAACTCTCTCTCTCTAACTCGCTCCCCCTAAAACCTTCACTCCCATTACCCGCTACCTCTGAAATCTGAATTTTTTTTTCCAGTAGACAAGCTTCGAGCATGGCCGGCCTCGCCGCCGCAGCCCTCCTGATCACGGCACTAATTTCCGCCGCATTAGGCGCTCCCCTCGACGCCGACACGGCAGCGGAGATCGGAGCCCTGACTGCCGTGAGGTCCGCCCTCCGCGACCCGCTCGGCGCCCTCGCCGGTTGGGACCCCTCCACGCCGTTGGCCCCCTGCGACTGGCGCGGCGTAGCCTGCGACGGTCGGCGGCGGGTCAGCGAACTCCGCCTCCCAAACCTCCAGCTAGCCGGCGTCCTCTCACCGGAGATCGCTAACCTGCGCATGCTCCGCAAGCTGAACCTCCGCTCCAACTCCCTTAACGGCACCATCCCCACCGCCCTCTTCCGGTGCGCCCTCCTGCGCTCTGTCTTCCTACAGCAGAACCTTCTCGTCGGCAGCGTCCCTCCGGATATCTCCGGCCTCTCCGACCTCTTCGTCTTCAACGCCGCCGGCAACAGCCTCTCCGGCGAGATCCCGGGAGCCTTTCCCCGGAGCATCCGCTTCCTGGACCTTTCGTCGAACACCTTGATGGGCGGGATCCCCGAGAATATCTCGAGTGGGTCCCAGCTCCAGCTCATCAATCTGTCCTACAACCGGATTTCTGGCGAGATTCCGGCCAGCATCGGGGAGCTTCAGAATCTCCAGTACCTCTCGTTGGACCACAACCGCTTGGGAGGCACGCTGCCTTCTGCTCTGGCCAACTGCTCGGCCCTGGTGCATTTTAGCGCCGAGGGGAATTCGATCAGCGGTGGACTTCCGGCTGCCATTGGCAGCCTGCCTAAGCTTCAGGTTGTTTCTCTATCGCACAACAATTTATCCGGGTTCATACCAGGGTCTTTGTTTTGTAATATATCCGATTATTCGCCCACCATTCATGTCCTTCAGCTAGGTTTCAACAATTTCACAGGGATTGACATTCCTAAAACAGTTGTGTGTAATAATAGTGCAATGCAGGGTTTGAGCCTGGAGAACAATCAAATTTCTGGTGGATTTCCTATGTTTTTGACCAATTTTTCCTCACTAACATCACTCAATCTTTCTGGAAATCTATTTTCCGGTTCCCTCCCAGGGGAAATTGGGAGAATGTGGCAACTGGAAGAGCTTAGATTAGCGAATAATTCGTTTGATGGTTTAGTGCCAGCTGATATTAACAACTGTAGGAATTTGAGAATTCTTGATCTCGAAGGGAATCTATTCTCCGGTACAGTCCCTGCTTTTTTGACGGAGCTGATCAATTTGAGAATACTGTCTCTCGGGGGTAATAACTTCTCGGACCCCATTACCTGGAGTTTCGGAAATCTGACTGCACTAGAGAGCCTGAGTCTGAGGGATAATGGCTTGACTGGGGACTTACCTGAGGGACTGATGTTTCTGACTAATTTGTCCACATTGGATCTTAGTGGAAACAGGTTTCACGGGCCCATCCCAACAAGTATTGGAAATCTGAAGCAGCTTGTGGTTTTGAACCTTAGCGGTAATGGATTATCTGGGACCATCCCGGAAGGCATTGGGGGCTTGTTTAAATTGACGTCTCTAGATTTGAGCAAACAGAACATGTCGGGAACTTTACCTCTCGATCTCTTGGGCCTGCCCAATCTCCAGGTGATTGCCTTGCAGGAAAATTCAATTTCAGGGGAACTTCCCGAGGGTCTAAGCAGCTTAAACGGGCTGAGCTACTTGAATCTCTCCTTCAATTCCTTTTCGGGTCGTATTCCACCAACTTTTGGTTTCTTGAGGTCGTTGGTTGTCATTTCACTATCCCACAATCATATCTCGGGCCCAATCCCTCCCCAGCTCGGGAACTGCTCATCTCTCAGGGTTGTTGACCTTCGCTCGAACGCATTGACTGGCATAATTCCCTCTGAGCTCTCTCAACTCTCTCATTTGATGACACTTGATTTGGGTGAAAACAACCTCACAGGTCAAATCCCCAGAGAAATCTCTAATTGTTCCTCATTGACTTCCCTTTTGCTCGACTCAAACCATTTAACGGGGCCTATCCCAGCAGCCATCGGCTCAAGGTTCCAAAACCGGTCGTTCTTTGCGGGCAACCCGGGCCTCTGTGGGGCCCCGTTGGGCTCGAAATGTGATGAAAATGGAAATAATGACGGTGGTAAAAACAACAGGCTAATCATGTTTATTGCTGTGGCTGCTGGTGGGACTCTCTTCATGCTTTCTTGCTGCTGTTTCTATGTATACAGCTTCTTGAGATGGCGGGAGAGGATTCGGGAAGAGCAGGCAGGGGAGAAGAAGAAGCAGAAGAGCCCGGCCAGAGCCAGCACAAGGTCAAGTGGGCGGGGGAGCAGCGAGAATGGGCTTGGCCCGCCAAGGCTTGTGATGTTCAATGACAAAATCACACTGGCCGAGACGGTGGGGGCCACAAGACAGTTTGACGAGGAAAACGTGCTGAGCAGGAGCCGCCATGGGGTGCTCTTCAAGGCGTGCTACGATGACGGGATGGTGCTTGCCATCCGCCGGCTTCCTGATGGTAGGCCCCACCTGGACCCGAATGCGTTCCGAAAGGAGGCTGAGTCTCTGGGCCGGGTGAAGCATAGGAATTTGACTGTTCTTCGGGGTTACTATGTCGGGTCGCGGCCTGACCTCAGGCTCCTTGTCTATGATTACATGCCTAATGGGAACCTGGCGACATTGTTGCAGGTATATATATTCGTGTTGTCTTTATTATGTGATTATAAATATGGATAAGTCTAAAAACTTGTTAGTGTGGGTTTAGGTTAATTACCCCAAAAGAAGAAATCATTTGAAATTTTTGAAAAAAAAAAAAGAAAGAAAAAAAAGAAGAGAATGAAAATTGGAAACCTCAGCCTGTTTGTTTGGGTCCCCCCACCCCCCCCAACCCCAAAGTTCTTATGAACACCATATTAGATATGATATGGTTATGTTATTGATGCGTACCTGCTGAACTAACATCTATCTATGCATTAAATTGGCTACCATATTAATAATCAGCACAGTTTAATATATAGTTGCAGTCAAAATCAAAGATAGAGTTTTGTAGCGGTGCTATAAAAATTGATGTTCATCGTTGCCCTTATTTCATTTATGTGACCATCAATGTAACGAAGTCATGAAATATAATTACAATAATAACGAATTCGGATGGTACATATGGAAGTTGCATCTACCTTTTAATTTCCCAACAGTATTGATTGAACTCATTGTGTGGGATGAAGGGTTGTGTAGCTTTCTGAGCATATTTCAGCATTCTCTATTTGATCCAAACCTATTACAACTTACAACAAGTGCACTTTGCCAACTCTCTGTCTACAGGAGGCGGCCCACCAAGACGGGCACGTCCTGAACTGGCCAATGCGCCACCTCATAGCACTCGGTATTGCGCGCGGGCTAGCCTTTCTCCATGCTGTCCCCATGGCCCACGGCGATGTGAAGCCCCAAAATATTCTCTTTGATGCTGACTTTGAGGCCCATCTATCCGACTTTGGGCTGGACCGGCTTCTGGGCCCTGCCCGGGCCGAAGCATCCACATCGTCATCTATGGGGACTATCGGGTATGCTGCCCCTGAGTTGGGCTCAACCCGGGAGGCAACCAAGGAGTCGGATGTGTACGGATTTGGGATTGTCCTGCTGGAGCTGCTCACTGGAAAGAGGCCCGTGATGTTTGGGGAAGGGGACGAGGACATTGTCAAGTGGGTCAAGAGGCAGCTGCAGAGGGGACAGGTGGCGGAGCTGCTCGAGCCCGGCCTGCTAGAGCTCGACCCTGAGTCGTCCGAGTGGGAGGAGTTCTTGCTGGGGATCAAGGTGGGCCTGCTCTGCACGGCTCCCGACCCAGTGGACCGGCCCATGATGGCCGATGTTGTGTTCATGCTGGAGGGGTGCAGGGTCGGGCCTGATGCCGCGTCCACAGGCCCCACTTCCCAGCATTCTCCGGCCCAGCCCGCTAGCTAAGGTTTCTGTTTTAATTTTCTATGTTTCTATTTGTTTGTTAGGGGAAAACAAAAACAATAGTAGCAGAGTTGTTATCTCTGGCAGTATTATCTCTTCAGAGTTGGATTCTTTTGGTTATTTTATTTATTTTTTTTTTTTTATCCCCCTGAAATGATAATTATTGTCTTTGGAGTTGTTTTGGCACCTTTTGAGTTATTTTTTTTGTCGAAGCGGCAGATTCTATTACTAAAATCACGGAAAAACACAAACGGCCAAATGACCAAAAGGAACAACCAAAGGTTGAAACTGAGAGTCCTACGAGTCGAGATGACTGTAGCCCAAAAGTTAATGTTTTCTGTTTTTTTTTTTGTAATTTGACTGAGTGGAGGGAGCATGCTGGCCGTGTGTGTTTGTTTGTTTATTGGTTGGTGGTGAGAGTGAGAAAGGAGGGACCATTTGAGATGGTGAAATTTGGAAATGAAAGAATAGTAAGAGCATCTTTGGGTCAAATGATTCGGACAGGTGAGCAGCTGCTTCATGGGAAGAGGGAAAAAAGATTAACAACGAATGAATGAATGATTGTTAATTTAGGACAAAGCAAAGGGCTGCCTTTCATGTGGTGGCTTCACGTGGATACAAACTTGTTTTTCAATATCCTTTTGATCGGGTGAAAGTAGAGAAGAAAGTAGCCAGCCTTTAAAATGTTGAAAGATAGCCTCTCTCTCTCTCTCTCTCTCTCTCTCTCTCTCTCTCTCTCTCTCTCTCTCTCTCTCTCTCTCTCTCTGTGTGTGTGTGTGTGTAATAACTAATAACTAATAAGCAATGATTGTTGATGGGGACATTGAGGATGGCATGTTGACATTTTGATGTACAAACAAGCCTTCTTCACTGTTGACGTTTTAAATCGATTTAATTTTGACATTAATGATGCTGGCTTGGCTTGTTGACTGCAAAGGAATATCGTGACGTTTTCAATTAATATTTAATAGTGCCAGCCAGCTCGTGCATGCATATAATTATGTTAATGTGTTGATTGGATGGTAAAGGAATGTAGCAGCCAATCACATGTTTGGTGAAGAAAATGAAGCATATGCTGCTGCCACTAGAGTTAAAATGGCATGGGGTTGGGCTGACTTTGGAGTGTCCAAACACAACTTGCAAAAAGTCGGTCGAATCCATCAGGTATGCATCCGCCTTTTGATTGGGTTCCACATCGAAAATTAGTATTACTATCCAAAATTTCGATTGGGTTTCACATCGAAAATTAGTAACCACCATATATTATTATCATGATTTGATTATTACAACAAGAGTACACTTACAATTAGTATTACTATCCAAAATTTTGATATTGATATTGTGTTTAGTATCTTGTTGTGGGTTTAACCATGTTTAGTTTAATGATTGACAATAGATAATAATGTGAGTACTTCTCTTTACTATTCTCTCCAGGTTCTAAATCTATGGTATCTACTAAATGTCATGTCCCCACTTTATTTGGGGCAACTTTAATTTCTGGTAAGAATAAATTCCGATTCATTTGGTTTTGTAATCTAGATTTGACATTAGGGATAGAAAAATATGCTTCTCTTACGGAGAACAACACTGCTGAGGAAAAACTTTATTTTAAGAAGTTGGAAAGATCTAATCGCCTTAGCCTTATGATCATCAAGAAAAACACTCCAGGATATCTTTCAGGGAAAGCCATAGGATGATATCATTCAGGATAAAAAGTTTCTTATTTTGGTTGAAAAATGTTTTACCAAAAGCAATAAGGAGAAAATGAATACATTTTTAAAGACTCCCACTTCCATGGTATCTCAACAAAGACAACATAATGGAGTAAATCCTCAAGATGTCTAATATTGCTTCTAAGTTGAGAGTACTAAAGTTAGAGCTTTCGGAGGACATGAGGTCGCAGCTCACGTGCTATTGCTATGAGTTCCAGTGCATTTTTTTTACCTCCGAGTACATGACAGCACTTTCCCACGAAGCATCCTGCATCTAGGCCCTCAGCCGTCAACCCCCGATTTTCTCCTGAGGCCAATCTATCTTTGATTTACCTTTCTGTCAAACACCGACGTTATGGGTTTCTACCAGTCCTTATTCTTCCTAGGTTTCTGCAGTATGTTGGTTGATCTTCTGTTTCTTTCCTCCGACAAGAAAAGTGTTAACCACCAGAACCAATGTTGTGCGCAGCGCTGGTAGTATTTCTCCTGGGTTATCCATCACCATGGTCTTCAAATTGGAAAACTTGTTGTGAGAAAAACGATCAACCCCTTATAGCCAGTAATAGACTGGAGTATCCCATAGACTGCCAGTTTGTTGTGCCAATTTGTCATGAACCGAGTTGAACCGATCAATCATCGGACGTATGCCTTTCTCTAGCTCCCGCGACATGCAGTGCGTCGAAAGGGGGTCCCGACGTTGACACTTTGCCGCTCAAGTCAGAACTGGTTGGAGAATAATCTAAGATATATGAACGCCATGTATAAGTGTGATAGTAATAAATAGAACCTAATCTTCTTTCCTATCTTACTACTTCTCTATCTGAGAAAGTCTCCTTAGCAAGCTATACTTTCCATCATACTAGAATTCTTTCTCCCTTCGTCATATAGCCCTGAGGTCCCTAAGCCTTCACCACATCCTCACCTCCTTGCTATAAGACCTGGCCAAGGTCGATACCCGACCTCTCCACCTTGCAACCTCGAAACCTCGAGGTCGCACTTTGTATCCATATTACTGGAGGTCGTTACTTTTAGGTCGTCTTATTAGGTTGTCCAGTACCTTGAGTTGCGTCTGCGAGCTCCTTGACTGGGTCCACTTCTTTTCATCGACCTACCCCGTGCTAACCACTCAGTCTGGTCCGCCGAGCTATTCTGGATGCTACATCAGTTACGATCTAGAGAGGAGTTTAGTTGCAGCGATCTTATGTCGAGGGTTCTTGATGTATTTTCATGTTATCTTGTAGTCCTATGGCAAACATTTTGAAAATGTGATGTTGCATGACTTCGGGATGATTGCGGTGCATTTACATTTGTCTTTGAACAATGTGTTTTTTTATCTTGTACCTTTGAACAATTTATTTGGGATGATTTGTCATTGTGATATTCAATTCAGCTCCTAGTTGAAAGTTGTTTTAGATGTGTCTTTCATTTTATTTTATTTTTCACTTTCCTGAAATTTTTATGTGGAAAGTCGAGTTCTCTTGTTAACACAAGACAAGAGGTCAATTTTTCCCTTTTAACACAACTTCCCACATGTTATACTTAGTCAGCCGTCAGTCAAAGACGGTTTACTAACGATTTGTACCAAAATTGATAGACGAAGCCAAACATAGGGTATATAAAGTTATTAAGTGAATACATAGGGTATCACAAGTGAAAAGAGGAGATAGTTAGAGTACCAAAACGACATGTTTCCATAACTTATCGTTCTTATGTCCAACTTTATCAAAATAATATTTCAATGATACTGCAGAATGACAATGTCTCTTTTACATTTCTTCAGAAATCCAGTCTCCTTTCTTCTCACTTACAAAATTGAATTTAAATCTAAAGAGATGATTATATTGATCACCTCAAAAGTACTTAGAACTTATCTGGAAACATTTTTTAAATGAGCTTTTGAATGCAAAAGATCACTTGGATAAATAATTTATGTTTGGTAATGAATTCGGATGAATTTATGAATAAGTTGATTCTCTAAAAAAATATATTCTGTTGAAACAGAGAATATAGACTTTTGAAAAAGTCAATTTTGCAAAAAAAATTTAAGTAGACTTTTATAAAAGTATATCTAGAGTGACCAAATATAACTTATCTGAATAAAGAGTTATGCCTCACTTGGAAAAAAAAAAAAAATGGATGATTTCGATTAGAATCACTGCAAAAGAGAGAACTAGACAAAAAA